CCCCGTCCTCTGCCTCCCTCGCGATGACCCTGCCACCATCCCCTGCCACCCCCAGCCCGTCCCCGTGGCCACGCCCTGGCACTCACGCGATGGCCAGGAAGGCGGCGTTGCCGCCGTACAGGAAGGAGCGGCTGATCACCTGCAGCACGAAGGTGGCGAACTGCACCTGCAGGACGGGCACGGCGGCGCACACGGAGAACAGCAGGCACTGCACCACCGTCACCACCAGGGACACCACCGCGGCCCGCAGGTCTGCCAGCGCGCCCCGGGCACCTGCGGGCACGGGGGTCAGGCCACGGGGATCAGGCCACGGGGACACGGCCCCCTCCCCGAGTGCCGTGGGGCTCGGGCACAGTGGTGGTGGCACACGGTCACCTGCCCAGATGAGGGCATGGGAGGACAGAGACCAACCCCAGGGCTGGAGGGGTGATTACCCCCGGGGTGGGGGGCCAGAAGGGGTGGTTACACTGGGGGTGGGGGGTCTGGGGGCTCGGTTCCCCTGGGAGCAGGGCAGCGAGGACAGTTACCCTCGGGGCGGTGGCGCTTGCCCCGCTTGTGCCAGTCGAGGATGAGGCCGTTCCAGGGGGCACAGAGCACCCCGCAGAGCTGGGTGAAGGCGAAGGCGTTGGTGTAGGTGCTCACTGAGGGGGGAGGACAGCGTCAAGCGGGGGCCAGCCCCGGGGGTGCCCGCCGTGCCCCCCGCGCCCCGCGGTGCCGTACCCGCGTCGGAGTCCCCGTGCGACAGGCGCTCGAGCAGCGGGTTGAGGGTGCCGATGAACAGGTAGTGGCGCAGCTGCATGACGGAGAGCCAGGCCACGTGCCAGGCGAAGAGCCACGAGCACGCGCAGGCCCGGAACGTCGTCCCGGGGGGGGCTTCACCTGCGCAGGTATCAGGGCAGGGCACGCAGGAACACGCCCCTCCCGGCCCCACCCACCTGCTGGTGCACCTTGTCCCTCCCACCCGCTGGGACCTCCCCCAATCCACCTGTATGACCACACCCCTTCACCTGTAGTGCCACGCCCACCCTCTGACCACCACACCCCAGCCACCACACCCACTCCCAGGCTCCACCCCTTCACCTACTTATCAATATATCCTCCAACCACGCCCACCCCAGGCCACACCCCCTTCATCTGCATAACAGACCCCACCCACCCATTGGTCACGCCCATTGGACCACACACCCCCACTATAAGCCCCGCCCCCTCCAGACAAGCCCCGCCCCCTCGAGACCAGATCCCCACTGCCGGCACCTCGAGGAACGGGGGGCTCCAGGGGGGTCTCCTCAGGGCCGTCCTCCCCTGGGGGCCTCTTCTCCTCGTAGGTGCGGTAGGAGCGGGAGCGCCCTGGGCATTGCAGCCTGTGGCAGTGCCTGTGTCACCTGCTGCCCGCGGGGTGCTGCTGCCCGCGGGGTGGGACCCACCCCCCAGCAGGGCACACTCAGAACCCCCCCCCACCATACCCGTAGTCGTAGCCGGGGGGCAGCGGGTAGGGGACGCGGGTGCGTGGCATCAGGAAGAGGGTGCGCAGCAGGTGCCAGGCGCTGCAGGCTGCCAGGAAGAGGAACATGGCTTGCAGGGACAGCCCCTGTGCGTACAGCAGCTGGGGACAGCGACAGAGATGGAGTCAGGGACAGGGACAGGCTGCCACTGGCCACCGTGGCCACCTGCTCAGGCCCTGGGTCTGTCCCCACATGTGGCCCCAGCAGTGGATCAGCTGTGTCCCAGACTGTGTGCCCAGCATTTCCACAGCTGTGACCCAACTCCGTCCCCGTACGTCCCTGGCTGTGTCCCCAGCTGTGTCCCCAGTATGTCCCCAGATGTCACCCAATCGTCCCCAGCTCCGTCCTCCCCTGGGGGCACCCTGCACCCTTGCCCGCCACCGCCACATCCCCCCGCCCTGTGCCCACCTTGACGATGAGGAAGATGGCGGAGGAGGAGTCGAAGGCTCCATTGTAGAGGGTGATGATGATAGAGCGGTACTTCCCAAACAGGTTGCCCACCTGGCACCGAGATACAGCCCCCCATGCCATCAGGGTCCCCCCGTGCCAGGCAGGTTGCCCCTGCCGCTGGGTGGGAGTCGGGGTGCTGGGGGAACCCACCTGCATGTTGGTGAGGATGAGGAGGATGCCGCCCACCGACAGCATGGACATGGCCGGGAAGAGCAGCACCGCCAGCTCTGGGGACACAGGGGTCAGCAGGGACAGTGGGGGTCCCCAACAGGTCCCCTCCAGGGCTGGGGTCCCCCTGCCCACAGGGTCTCACCTGGAGTGGAGAAGGCGACGAGCAGGGTCCCGCCGGCGTAGAGGGAGCTAAGGGGACAGCGGTGACACATGGGGATGGGGTCCTGGGGAACACAGGTGACCCCAGCCCCATGGGTGCTCCTCGTGCCATCAGGACCTTCCTGCCCCATCCTACCTGGATACCCTGGTACCCCCCATCTCTCACCAGCCCCCCGTTACCCCCGGCGCAGGGCTCACATGGCGATGAGGCGAGCGGCCAGGGTGCCGAAGCGGTCAAAGACGACGCCCATGGGGAAGGTCATGAAGTTGTTCATGAAGGAGCCGATGGTGAAGACCAGGGAGAACTGCTCATCCTGCGCACTGCAGTCTGGGGATGACGGTCAGTGGGGCGCGGGGACATGGGGACACAGGGACGTGGGTGTGGGGGCACCGGGGGCACCAGGGATGAGGGGATGCAGGGACCCGCGGGCACAGGAACAGCAGACAGCAGGAACCCAGGGAAACACTGGGGATGTGGGGACACCGGGGACATGAGGATACTGGAGACATGGCTGGCGTCTAGTAGGGACACGTGGGGACACAGGGTGCTGCAGGGCATCAGGACATTAGGGACAGCAAAGACGTGAGCATGGGGACAGCAGAGACTTAGGCAAAGGGACAGCGGGCACACAGGGCACATAAGGGCATCGGGACAGTGGGGACACGAGGA